GCAGGGACGTGCCCGGCGGAGAAGCTCTCACTGTGACCCTCAGATCTCCCAGAGCTCTAGCCGGCGGTCCCCTGCTCATGACAGGAAAACCGGGACGGGTAGAGACAGAGGGTGCCACTCTGTTCCCCGTGAGGAGATAGAGGCAAGATCGCAGCGTAGCCATGCTCATACGCTCGCAATGAACGCATGAGTCATCCACGAACGCAGCTTCAGCGTGTTGGATGCCCAGACACTGAAGGCAACGCTCCTGGCCGTCGACAGAGGACAGGTAACGACCGCAACCAAGAGAACACGGACGGAACGGCATCTTTAAAAAGACGCGAACCATCAGTGATGAGAAACTGCTCTTTTAGTTGAAGCACCCAGGGGAATCGCTGAATCAACAGGGACACCGCTGTTTGTGCCGTCACGCCAACCAGGAACAGCTTCTTTCTTCCAGTCAGAACAAAAAGGCTTTGTGGAGAAGAAATCATTCACCCACTCGGCTCCGAAGCAAAAATCTGATGAGTGGATGCACCTGTCGCCTATTTATACCCATATGCACGGGGAGTGACTCAGGTATGCAAAATCCACTAGCCAAAATTCATTAGCGTTTTCTCTTAAAGAAAGAGTGGATTGGGGCTCTCAAGTAACCCCCCCCATGTCGTCACGACATAACTCGTAGTGACCGTCAGATAGGGAACTGCTTTTCAATATAGTGTCAGCTGTCCCTGCATACTCTGTATTTTATATGCTGAAATTCATTTTATCACAGTTTAATCTTCTCACATGCTTATGTACATGTAAAAACGAATGCTGTTTTTCCAGGTGTGCTCAAACCTCCTGCCTCCTCTTTTTCTGGAATGCCTCCACCACCAGTATCCAGCCAGTATGGTGCTAACATTCAGCAAAATGGGGCCCATCCCCACAGGTGAATACTGGTTCAATGTGATGAAACATTTATGAAATTGCAATTTTTTTTTATAATGTGTTTTTTTTTGCTCCCATCAGTTTCCCTCCTCCTGTTGCTTCAGCTCCTTCCATGTCTCCTTATGGACAGCCTCCTCAAAGTGCTTTTCATAGTATGGCACAAGCCCCGCCTCCAACACAACAGCTGACCAATCAAATGAGTGTTATGAACATTGGAGGATATGGTAAGTCAGATGCCATTTTATATTGAAGTGAACTAAATTTCAGAGGGCCCATTTTATACCCATTCACCATTATCTTTAGGCCAAAGGCCCATGCAGGTACCGCAGTCCACTTCCAGCTCAGCAGCACTACAACAGTTTCAAACTTCACCACCAGCAGCAATGGGACATCCGCCCCTTTCTCCACCAGGACAGCAGCCGCCCTCTCTTGGATCTCCTCCACCAATGGCCACGATAGGTTCTGTGACAGCTCCGCCAATGGGAATGTCTGGCCCACCTGGACCAGGTGTCCACCAACCACCACTGGGACCCCAAGGCTATCCACAGCAACCAGGTAAAAACTAGGAAATTTTGCACCAGTGATTAAGAAATGGTTCAGGAGCATATCTTTGTGACCTTGGACCACAAAACCAGTCATAAGGGTCAATTTTTTTGAAACTGAGATTTATGAATAAATAAGCTTTCCATTGATGTATGGTTTGTTAGGATAGGACAATATTTGGCCAAGATACAACTATTTGAAAATCTGGAATCTGAGGGTGCAAACATTTTTTTTTTAAATTTTGAAAATCGCATTTAAATTTGTCCAAATGAATTTCTTAGCGATGTATATTACTAATCAAGAAGTTTTATATATATTTACGGTAGGAAATTTACAAAATATCTTCATGGAACATGATCTTTACTTAATATCCTAATGATTTTTGCCATAAAAGAGTAATCGATAATTTTGACCCATACAATGTATTGTTGGCTATTGCTACAAATATACCCGTGCTACTTATGACTGGTTCTGTGCTCCTGGGTCACATTTAAAGGTGAAGTGTGTCATTTTTGACAACCTTTTACACTTCCAAAAGTTTGGAATAATTAAAGGGGTCATGAACTGCCTCTGTTTTTTTATTTTGTACTGTTCTCTGAGGTCCACATATAATGTTATCAATGTTTTTCACATAAAAAAACATCATCATTTAGAAGTAATAGGCTATTTTCTGTCCAGTTTTTGACCCCCTCATCAGAGCGCTCTGTTTGAATAGGCGTGTCAGATTGTAGACTCTGAAGTAAACGCCCACTGCTATGATTGGCTTGTCTATGTTTGACTGTCTACGTCCTTCACAAATGGATGCTGCTGTGATTTAGGTTAAAAACACATAAATACTCAGTGCATATCAAGCAATCTGTTTAACAGACAAAGCAATAGGGACCACGTAATAAAAACAGTTACTCACACTTGACATTACTGTCGGATCCAATATAGTCGGCACAGCATCGACTTTTATTTTCAATCTTTTTGAAAATCCCACCTCGTACTGTGTCTTGTTTGTAAAAGAATGAAATGAAGTGAACAAAGAACTGAGTTCTCACTGACGAGGTCTGGATCTTCATTAAAATAAAGTTCATCTATTCTTTCTTAACGTTGGGTTCAGAAGGAAGGCAATGCAAATACACAATTTTTTCCACAGCTTGGCACTGCACAGCATCCTGTTGTCTTCAGAGCCATCTTTATTGTTTAGTTTCTGTGTAGACCTGCACGTTCGCCTCTCTCCACATGTGTGAATCTGTGGGCGGGGCTAAGTCGTGGCCTTATGGTTAGAGAGTCGGACTCGTAACCCAAAGGTTGCGGGTTCGAGTCTCGTACCGGCAGGGATTGTAGATGGGGGGAGTGAATGTACAGCGCTCTCTCCCACCTTCAAAACTTCTATAAAAACATCTTGTAAGTTTCAGAACTCAAAACTTTCTCGTCAGTCTAAAAACAGCTTATATTGAAGGCCAAAAAGACAGGTTGTGGAATGGTCTACTCTATGATGATATAGTGTGGATAAGCACCGCCTCCGCAGAAGTTCAACAACATCACTGCCTATTTTTTTTTCTTTTTTTCTGTGACATGTGGCCAAGTATGGTGACCCATACTCGGAATTAGTGCTCTGCATTTATCCCATCCAAAGTGCACACACACAGCAGTGAACACACACACACACCGTGAACACACACCTGGAGCAGTGGGCAGCCATTTTTGCTGCGGCGCCTGGGGAGCAGTTCGGGGTTCGGTGCCTTGCTCAAGGGCACCTCAGTCGTGGGGTGTGTGTGTGTTCACTGCTGTGTGTTATCCACACTATATCATCATAGAGTAGACCATTCCACAACCTGTCGTTTTGGCCTTCAATATAAGCTGTTTTTAGACTGAAGAGAAAGTTTTGAGTTCTGAAACTTACAAGATGTTTTTATAGATCAAGGTTTCTCAGTTCATGACCCCTTTAAGATTTTGAAGAGAAGTCTCTTATGCTCACCAAGACTGCATTTATTCAATCAAAAATACAGTAAAAACAGTAATATTTTGAAATATTATTACAGTTTATAAGAACTATTTTCTATTTGAATATATTTTTAAATATAATTTATTCCTGTGATGCAAAGCTGAATTTTCAGCATAATTACTCCAGTCTTCAGAGTCACATGATCCTTCAGAAATCATTCTAATATGCTGATTTGCTGCTCAAGAAACATTTCTTATTATAAGTGTTGAAAACAGTTGTGCTGTGTGATTTTTTTGTGGAAAATGTGCCATATATTTTTTCAAGATTTTTTGATGAAAAAGAAAGTTCAAAAGAAGCGTTGATTTGAATATCTAAAAATGTATTAAGATAGAAAATAGTTCTTTTAAACTGTAATATATCATAATAATGTTTTTTTATCAAATAAATGCAGCCTTGGTGAGCATAAGAGGCTTCTTTCAAAAATATAGAAAAATCTTAAATATTCCAAATTTTGACTGC